TGTGGTAACTGCGATGTTTCTTAATGTTTACTGTCAACAACTGGCTGTCCATTATATGTATAAAGAAACCTCATTTAATTAATATTGAAAACTACAGAAAACTGAGACGGGAATTATGAATGTTTACACAAACCCTAGGCATTGAAGTGTGCTTGCTCACCTGATCTTCTCTGTTGACATATTCCAAAACACCTTTCTCAAACATTATTTTCTTAAACATTTAAGTCATCATTTCACTTACCAATTCTTTAAACACAGAAATTGGATTTGAACCATGGTAGTACCATAGTTAGTACTATGAAATGTGTACAACTCCTGGGCATGCTGAATCTCGGTGATTTTCCTTTAGTATTATGAAATGTGTACAACTCCTGGGCATGCTGAATCTCAGTGATTTTCCTTTAGTACTATGAAATGTGCACAACTCCCAGACATGCTGAATCCCAATTATTTTGGTGGAGCAGCTGTTAGGAAGAACTCTGCGCTCTAGGCTCAGGCACACTAGAAGAAATTACATAAGGGCGAAGGGAAAGAAGATGGGGTGCTGAGAACATGGGAAGAAAATGGGAGCCCTGAAAACATGGGGCAGGTGGGGTGTCAGGCTAGGGTGCTTTGCTATTGACAGCATTTCCTGACTGCGCCAGGGACCTAGGGCTTCCTGTTGTACAGTCCGTCCGGTTTTGGAGAATACCTCAGAGCTCAGACAGTCAAGACTCACACATCACACATGCCAAGCAGGGCTGCATGGTTCAGGAGCTCAGGCACGAGGACATTGTGTGCCTGGCTCCCCGTGACTCACATCTACTGAGGTCCCACATCTTCTGGCAGCAGAACCAAAACCAATATCTAAAAGACTATGGGGAAATTTTGGTCTCAAAACTGGGAACAGTTGCTTCTCCTGGGAACATTTAATTGTTTGGGCTTAGAACATCATTAATCATGAAGCAATGAACACAGTTTCCTTTCACACTGATCATTAAATAAAATAAAGTCTGTTTCTCTCACGCCCACCACAGAGGGTCTTGTGGAATTCCTGTGTATCCTAATAGGCCTCTTCCCTCCTATCCATTCCTCATTTCACTCCCGCCATGCTTTTCTGGCCAGGTGTTGTGTATTGTGGCCCTTCTGGAGTAGGGCATGTTCTCAACAGTCCCCGGTTTCTAAAGCTACAAAGAGCTCAGAGAGAATCCAGTTCTAGCTGGCATAGTTCACAGATGAGAAAACTCAGGTACCAGTGGTTAGCGTTTCAAAGTCTGACTGCAAGGCAGGGATCCTAAACGGAGTTTATGATTTTTAGTTAGCATACTGTTGCCTCCATGTCGTGAGACTCTTTTCTTTCCTGTTCTTAAGATGGCATCATCCAAGCGATGCCGGTAAACACTTCTCCCCGACACAGAGAAACTCTCCAGGCTACACCTTACTTTAGAGGGTCACAAGAAAATTCTGAGAAGTCTTATAACAAGTGAATCCACTTAACCTTCTCTAACTTGTACCTGTAAAACATATCTGATTATGAATTAAAAACATCTCTTTTGGGGCCGGTTGGGAGCTATACTTCTTAAGGCTCCTTGGAATACACCTTGAGAGGTTTGGGGTCAAGACGAGATCCCAGGAATCAGGTGGAGGACAGAGATGGCCACATGTTCATCTCCTGACACATCAGCCTCTGTTGAGGGTGCTCTTGAAGGTGGCAAGTCACCCTGCCCCTAGGCGCTCAATCTCCCTGCAGCAGAGAAGACACTGGGCCTGCTAGAAATACTGTGCACCAGGAGGGTCATGAAGGAAAGGTCTGGAATTTTGTGTTTTAATGATCACTGTCTTTTGTCCACTTTAGACAGGAGGCGATTACAAGTTATTTTTCTACAGAGGTACACACAGTCAGACAGAGGTTTGCTTCCAAGTGTGTGCCTCTAGAGAGAAGACAGCTCGGCAAGCTTGTGGAGGCAGGTCACCTGGTGCCCTCAGCCCAGACTGCAAGCTGTTGTTGGATGCCAGTGTTGACTCTGCTCTTGCCACTCGTGTTCTTCCCCCCTCTGAACTTCTCTTTCATCTTCAGTCAGATGGGTATCCTAAGAATCACAATATGGCACTATGCAGATTGCAGTTTAATACCTCAGTGCTTGCCCCTCCCTTTCCGGGAGCCATGATGTGTCCTCTTAACAGGAAAACACGGGTCAGACTTTGCTGTGCCTTCCCTTCATACATATTTCTCTTCACAGTGGACAAGGAAGGATGACTTACACCAGTGGTCACACAAGACCCTTGGTCTCCTCCCCTAAGGACAGCTGTAGCTAACCAGTTAATACTGGCTCCTCCAAGGATCTACCTGCCTGTGAGCTCCTACCCCTGTCCCTTCTGATGAGTTATGCTCACAAGTATGGGAAACCAGGTGTCAACAGTAACAATGCTCAGGCCCCGGGTAGAGTGGTACTGAGGGGTTTCAGACTCAAGAGAAACAAATGGGTTTCTCTTGGATGCCATGGATGCCAGGGTCATGATGGGCCAGCCACCAGGTCTTCTGAAGACAGCCTTGCCATCTAAGCAGCACCTCCACAGACTTCCTGACAGGCAGGAGTGGCTAGCCCAGCTCTCTAGGGTGCCCTCATACAACAGCATCTTAAAGATGCCAAGGGCATCTACCCCATGCCCTCAGCAATCCTCGACTCAATTGGTAAAAACAACAACATTTATATTAAAAGCTGATAAACTAAAATGCATCAACTGGAAACAAGAAAGGAAGGGAGGAGGAAGGTTGCTGAAGATCTTAGTTATTTTTATTGATTTCTCTTTGTTAAGTTCCAAACACTGTCATATTAATGCACTCCTCTGTTTTTTGTTTGTTTATCATCATTCTTCTTTATTACTATGGTTTGTAAGTCTAAGGACTGAACGTAGGTCCTCAGGCATATGAGGTATCTACACTGTTACTGAGCTTTAGCTCCTGCCCTCTTTCAATTATGACCAGAAAAAAATAAAAAAAGCAATTAAAATATAGGATTTAGAAAAAAGAGAAATACAAGCATATCTTTAAAAAGATTATCAACAAATACTGGAAAGTTTAAAGACAACAAAACAAATCATTTTCATTAGTCATGTCACCGGCGGTCACGGAAAGACGGGCCTTGACCGTGTAAGAGGAGTCTTTCCGTAGGTGACCTCAAAAGCCCAGAGGGTTGGCAGTGATCTGAGGGCCCGACACTATCACAACTGCACACTGAGACGCTCCTGATTTATAAAAGCAGTAGTTGGGGGAAATATCCAAGGGGGTTCTTCTTCTACATATATGGCAAGACTAGGGAATGAGGGACAATCTCATGGCCAGCTTGGGGACAAGCTCTAAACTCAGGCCTGACCTCAGCTCGAGTCTGAATTTCTGCCCCGGCAGCGTCCAGTCCAGACCGTGGAGACTTTGACAGTTTCCTTCTCCAGCCGGTGCCTTCCAGGTTCTAAGCACCATGGCTGGCACCCTCTCCATGCCCCTTGCCACGCAGCGTTGACTCTCAGCGTTTACCTTTAAACGTGCTTTTTCTCTTATTCAGGGGGCACACACCTGTTTCCATGAGCTTCAGATTAACATCACCGGCAATGGTATGCATGCTAAAGCACACGGAGCAACATCAAAGGCTGTCTGGAACGTGCAGGAAGTCTTTCTAAGTTTCTAGGACTGAAATTCTTTTTGCTGCAGTTTTGAGATGGCAGGGCAGAGAAAGGAAGCAAGGAAAACCGTTTCCCAAATTATAACTTGCATCTTGGTAATGAGAAGCTATTAAAACATATTTTAAAAAATCCCCAAGCTGATGTGTTTCTTAGAATTCCGAGGTTTCCCACTGCTCTGCCGTTTCCCATTCTGTATGCACGGCAGAGACTCCTGCCAAGACTATTACAGTGAGCAAACAATGTCCTCTCTGTCAGAGCCGAGAATGAATAGTATCACAAAATTCTCCTCTAATGTACAGCCTACACTCCCCACAAGCCTTCCGAGGAGAGCAGCCAGGCGGAGGGGGAGGACAGAACGCGGCTCTCCCCTTGCCAATCTGAAACTGCTTTCCAGAACACCAAGGGTGGACCAGCGCTAACTGAGTATTATCTGCTAATCAGAGGAAGTGGACAAGTAGATTTTAATTCCAATCGTATATTGTCTCATGGCTCTGGATAGGAGTACACAGAGACTTTTGTGAGGAAAAAGGAGAAAGAGCTCATCAAGCAAAATCTCAGGGCTTAGCGAAAATAGCCCTTTGCTACAAACCGAACAGCAGCAGAGGAACTTGCCAGAGGTTTGTGGGAAGCTACCAGGAGCTGAGGCCCAAGTGTGAAAGTGAGTGTGGGATCTATTGCTTCCCGGAAGCCTTGGTGTCTGCTAAGCTCCTGATTCATGGAGGAAGAGCCTGGAGTTACTCCCCTGGATGTGTGAGACAAGGCTGGCCCACTCTGTTCCGGTCCCAAGGACTGTCTATGTCTCCTGCTCCCCGGCTCCTCTTCAGAAGAGGCATTAAGTACATAATCCTTCAAAATGAGACATTGAGAAGGCATTTTGCGCACAAATCATTGAAAGGCTTACTTGGTGTACACTTTCAGAAAATAGAGATTTCTTAAAACTTTCCTTATCTGTTGTCTTAGTTGGTGCCGAGTATAATGGTCCCGGCCCCCCTGTATGACATGTGCAGAACATATACTTTGTCTGACCTTGAATCAGAATCACTCGACTCTTTCGGCATAAAGGAATGAACACTATTTCCAGTCTAAACACACAGGCCCGCTCCCCTCCTCTTTTCCCAGGATCTCCCAGGGTGAGATGGTGTTCTCTTGGTGACACATTTGGCGGGGCTGCAGGAGGCAGCGACAGCCCTCCTTTCTTCTCCCTCTCCCCCTCTCTCACTCACACAGTCCTAGTCTGCACCAGACAATCAAACCTCTGTGCGTGCGGTCCAGCCGCCGCCGCCGCCGCCGCCATCTGAGAATGCTACCCATGTGCTCCCTTCTTCCTCAATGGCAATATTTACCTTGGAGGAATGCTTGTCCGAAAGTATTTCTGAGTTCTAGCAGTGTGTCCTGTTCAAATGCTGTGACGCGAGGGCCCCTCTCCTTTCTTGGCCTGTAACCAGAAAGAAAGAAAGAATGTTGGGGGGCAGGGAAGGCGTATGGATAGGCTGTGAGAGACACTTGCCAGCTTACTGGAAAAACTCTGGCCTGTTTACCAGACATGGAGCTTTGCATTCCTCTCTAAAGAGGCTGCAGGTTTAACTTCTAAACAGGCAAACGTACCAACAGCAGTGAATACATACGATTTTTTTCCCTCTGAGACAAAAGCCACATTATCATTTGATCCAATAAAAAACAATTTACTTTTTTTTCCTCAAAGTCTTCCTAGCTTATGACAGATAAATCTGTATGTTACTTAGTACAATTAAGATCAAGTAACTGTTACCAACATTTGAGGTAAAACACAGTATTTATATGAAAAGAACATTCATACTTTTTGGCAAGGTAAGCTGTGACTCAATTCTGAAATTTTCTGATGGAAAGGAAGCTGTGGTGGTGTGGTGCATACATCAAGACCCAAGGGCATGTAGCTCTAATCCTTTATCATTCCATCAGCACCCCACCATGGGAGTGAGAAAGATTCTCAGAAAGGGAGGCGACTCCCAGGAGACTCCCCCAGTTTTCCCAGTTCATCAGCTCCCACATCCTGTCACTGGTCGGCTCTAGCGTTTTGGCCAGCCCTTCTCCCACCCCCCTTTCCTCTCTGCTTTACTTCCCATCTTTGAACAAATCTCTTCGGTACTGAATACCGTTTTATCTTTGAAAAGATTTATTTATGTGCATGTGTGTGCATCTGTATGTGTGGGTGTCAGTGGAGGCTGGAGGAAGTGCCGGAGCCCCTTGAGCTGGAGTTGCAGGAGGTTCTGAGCAACCAAACCTGGGTCTTGTGGAAGAACTGATGAACTACCTCTCTGGCCCCTGAACACTTACTTTACATGAGGCACCATGATGGGGGCGGGGTGAGGGAGGAGAGGAGAAGAATGGAGTGGAAATGAAGAGTTTATTCTCATGAGGCTATTCCAACTGCTAACCAAGATCTAGAACTTCTTAATTACTTTAGCAGACTGAGGTACAAATTCTGTATTGTTTAACATTCAATCGTAGAACACGAGCCACCCAGATTTGTATTAACTGTTGTTCTTTTGGACAGATCATCATTTCTGAGTGTTGCTTTCTTCTGCTGCAGAATCAACACATTATTTATATTGTATATATTGTATTAAGGTGTAACTATTCTTTCCCTGCCAGTTGTCAAGTGAGAAAGGCTGCCTTTTGTTTGCCAATGCATTCAGCTACATTATTATTTTCTTATTTCTAAAGTAAATCTAAAAAGATCAGAACGAGAGGCACAATCACCGGCTGTCTTCCTCTAACCCAACTCCAGGCCTCTCTCTGTCAGTCACAAAAAGTGGGAGGGACAAGGCAGCGCTGGGTGAAGTGCTCCTGGGCTAAGCGAATTCTAGCGATATTGTTCTACTCTTTCATTAGCTTTCAAGTCAAACCTCCTTCCAGGCTCCTGCCATGCACAGGGATTTAGATGTAGATTCTAATCACCTCTTGGCTTCTCTATGTCAATGCCCAAGTTCAGAAAACTCTTTTGAATTAGTCAGAAAGATGATCAAGATTAATTATCCAAGTCCAGTGGCTTCAGGTCAGGGTCGTTTTGTTTTTGTTTTCAAATGTGAAATTCTGTCAGTGCACATTAGAAAAAGTATTTCAGGGCTGGGGATGCAGTTTGTGAGTTTGTGGTAGAGCACTGGGTAGCATGCTCAAAGGTCTAGGTTTAATCCCTAATATCACACACACATACAAATAAAATCAAAATGCATTTTCTTTTACTAGATGTGAAGGAAGAGCCAGACTTAAAAACTGAACAGTCTAGGGTGGTGCATAATTTTGCGCTGTCAAAATAGCTAGAGCACGAGTTAAAAATATTCCAGGGAAACAAGGTGATGGAGATAGTGGTGTTATCACAAAGACAGACAGACAGACAGATTAAATGGGAAAAAAATTACCACCCATGCAAGCCAACCCACAGATTTACAGTCCTTTATTTACACAGTCAATTGCCTTTCAACAGAAGTGCCAAGACCACCCAATGGAGAAAGAACAATCACTTTAGCAAACAGTGCTGGGATAGGACAGCCACAGACAAGCAAGTGGAGTCCTGAGTTCACGTGATATTAAAGTTAAGTTGAGATGATAAATGTAAGAGGTAACCCCCCCCACCCCCACCCCCCCACACAAAACTACCATGAAAGAAAACACAGGTAAATCTCCATGAGATCAGATTTGGCCAAAGGTACTTATATGATGCTAAGTGTACAATCAATAAAATATAAAATAAAAAGTTGTAAGCTTTAGAAAACACTATGTATAATAAAGATGACATCCCAGAGAAGAGAAATAGGTGAAAGCCTATTTATGATAAAGGAAATGTAGTGAGAATATATAAAACCTCTTAAAAGGAAATAAGATATCCAAGTCCCAAATGAGCCAAGAGTCTTAAATAGGCATTTCTCCAAAAGAAGTTATAAAAGGACCAATGAATTCACAGATGGTCAATGCCATCATTAAAGAAATGCAAGTGTAAACTACAATGAGATGCTGCCTCATGGGTCTGAACTAAAAGCTAAGAGTAATGTGTGCTGGGAGGATGTGGAGAAATCTGAACGTGCAGCCGCTCTGCTGGGAGTGCAAGACGATCATCTACTTTCCAAATAGTCTCAAACTTCTCTGAAAGTGTTAACCGGGAACTATCATCTCATCCAATGGTTCTACTCCTAAGTACATACAAAGAGAAGCAAGAACAGAAATCTACACAAAAGCTTGTACACAGAGATTCAGAGCAACACGATTCATCACAGCCTCAAACCAGAACCACCCATGTGTCCATCAACTGAAGAACGGAGACAAAAATGGTAAACACACACAGTCACATGTAGAATGGAATGCCATATTGACATAGGTTCAACATGGATGCCCTTTGAACACATGGTAAGGGAAAGAAGCCAGTGGTCCTGAATATTATGGGATGCCATTGATAAGAAATGTCCAAAAATGGTCAAATAAATAAAGCTGGGTGCATAGAAAAAGAGTGACTGCTTAGAGTTGGGGAAGATGGGAGGTAGGCACCGTGGTGAAAATGTTCTACAAACGATGCTTGCATCACTCTATGCTGATACTCATTAAACTGCATCGTTTCAATGGATGATTGTATGCTATGTAGATTATAGCTCAGGAAAGTTCTTACTGAGAAAATATTCCACAAGATGCAGACATTATAATATTTTCCAGATCACTCTCAAAGAACTGTGGCAAACTTGAGCTGAAGCAGAGCACCTAGCTCCACGGCAAATGGTCGCGTGTGAACTGCCCTGAGTAGAGTCCTCGCTGACATGGTGGTCCTTCGGGGCTCCTATCATGTGTGTGACTATCTGTACATGTGTACACTGCAAAAGAGGGCTGACTCAAACTAAGCCTACACTTTCAACTTAATAGCTCTTCCGTCTAGTGGGATTTTAGGACGCCCCAAACCAGGCTATCCACTCATCTTTCTGCTCCTCTGCATCTGTATACACAGAGCCTGTAGAATGTGAGGATCAGCATCATTTTTTTCTAAACCTGTTCTACAGACAGCTTCCTTATGACTGGCAACAGGTTCTGAACACTGATAGTGACACTTCCAAGAAATTTGTGATATGCTTGCAAAAGACCTGAAAGCTGGCTCAGCCTAAAGCCGCTCAGAGCCATGGGAATAATTTAATTGGGGGACCCTGGGACCTGTGGTAGGAGATCTGCATTTGATAAAAGGTCTGGTCTGGCATCAAAAGTCATCTCAGTGGTCAGTGACAATATCATCTCAGCATGGGAAATCACAACTGAACAAATAAATTCCACCAATACTGAGCAAGCATCCATCGTGGATGAGGCGCGGTGAATGTGATCCATGGCGCATTCCACCAGCAGCACACATTAAACAGCCTAAATACTTCATGTTTTAGTCACAGCCAATTCAGTTTTGGGGAAGGCACGATGATGTGTGTGAGAAAAAGAGGTGAGGAGAGAGGGGAGGCAGGAAGAGACTTCCTGGGGCGAACACTTCCTGGGGCATTTCGGTTTTGTGGGTGTTTTTTTTGGGGGGTTCTCCTTGAGCAGTTCAAAGGCAATTCTCCACTGAATGTGGCTGGTCAAGTCAGAGCACAGAGCCCTGGTCTGTGCTGCTTTGCATCCCATTCTTTAGACAGAAAGCCAAAGGTCCCAGCAGCTTCTTATCAGCTCCACTATCCTGCTGTAGACAGCATCTTAGCTAAAACCAAAGGTGAACTTCCTTCTGCGGCGAAGCCCCATCTCTCCTTCCTGAGGCTTCTGCAGCTGGACTGGGGAGTGGCTGCTTACACAGTCTCCAGGGCAGCTCTGTGTCCCAGCTTTGGGGTGCAGAGCTGAAGGCCAGGGTGCTCCTGGTTCCTGCACTGTGCCATTGGGTGGCACAGTTTACAGCAGCCGATGGAGTTTCACCCAGATGAGGCCTAACGTTGACTAAAACGGGATTAGTCTAAAACTCTAAGAGCCTCCCTGGGAGGTAGCAATTTATTAATCAGCTCCCCTGGGATATGCCTACTAAATCAGCTATTAATCCAGTTAATTATACACATCCCCAATTTGTCAAGATGATGAATGTCAGCAATTTGATAGATTTTTGGTAAAGAAAAAAAAAATCCATAAACTAATGCATGCTACTTCCCATTAGTCCATTGGCATTCTGTGATGGGGTTTAACAAATTAACAATAAATTAGAGAGATCTCCCTCTGTTAAAGACAGAACAGATATTCCTGTCCATCAAATTTCAATATTCAGTCCTTTTCAGCAATCCTGTGAGACAGCAGTGTTAACTGCTCAGTGGCTCAGCAAGGCAGGGGCAGCGGCAGACAAAGTAACAGGCTGCCAACGGCTGTGCAAAGTGGAGGAACCAGTGCCCGACGCCGGTGTTGCAGGAGTCTTGTTGCAGGCTGCTGGCATTGCCCGCCCTCACGAAGCTTTTCCTGTTCGCC